GCCCGGGTAACTACCACTAGTGACCACACTCTACTGGTCTCCACCCCCCGCCCCCGCCCCCGCCCCACCGCCGACTAGGCCGCAAGACACGGTGGCGGCCGGGCCCGGAGGCCGGTGGCGCCATGGGAGCGCGCGGCGGGCATCCCAACTAATAACGAGGCATGATCACATGAGTGGGGTTGTTTAGACGGCCCTGCACTCTGGCCCGGGCGCCGCGGCGGGGGGTGTTCGCGCCGTGCGAGGCGCACACCGACAGAGGGCAGGCATGCTCAGGCAGGGCACGCATGCGCCACAGCACATGTGTACATACACACATACCTCCCCGACGTGCGCTCCCAGGGCTGGCACATGTACAGCAAAAAGGAGAGAAAAGAGGGCGTCTCTTTGTGGAAGGGAGCGGACAAGAGGGGAAGGCCCAAGCCAAGGGGGTCCCCCCCCCCCCCCACCCCGGGCTGTGTGGAAGGAGGAGGGCGAGCTGGCACATGCCGCGGCACGTTGGCCGACTATGTGGTCCGCATGCGGACCAGCTTGATGAAATCCACCAGCGGGGCCTTGATGGATGGGGCGCCGGAGCCCAGGGTGCCCAGGAAGATGGCTGCCTCCTCGCCAGTGACCGCCCCGGGCGGCAGGCCCTCGACAAATGTAGCCACCCAACTGACAAGCTCCTGCTGCGTGTGTGCGTGCGTGCGTGCGTGCGTGCGTGCGTGCGTGCGTGCGTGCGTGCGTGTGCGTGTGTGTGTGTGCGTGTGCATGGTGTCAGAGAGCCCGTCAGAGAGGGGGCGGCGCGGCGGGCGGGGCGAAAAAAAGGGCCACAAGAAAGCCCGAGGCAAACACCAGGCACATGGCTCGCCGCCGCGTACCGGGCCAAACAATTGCAGCAGGTACTCCATGATGTCCACAACCTCGCGGTTGCCGGTCCGCCGGGGGAAAGTCCGGCAAACACCCTCCAGCATGCAGATGACGGCCTCGGCGCCCAGGGGGGCGGCCGGGTGGCCGGGGGGCCGGGCCAGGGCCGGGCCAGCCGGCACCGACCCCGGCGGGGCCGGGTCCCGGAGCAGGCGCCGGAGCTCGATGCCAGCCTCGGACCCGGAGGTGGCCCCATGGGCCGAGCTCAAGACGCAGGCCACAAAATAGAGGACCCCCTTGATGGCGGAGCTGCAGTTGTGATACCGCCGCAGGGCGACCAGCGCCGCTGGCAGCAGCTGGGCCAGGGTTTGCGGCATCAAGTCCGGCAGGTAGCGCGACATGACGCCGGCCAGGTCGAAGAAGTCCTCCACCAGCGTGTCGGCCAGGAGGCCGGCCGCGGCGGCCGGGCGCTGGTCGGTCGACCCGTCGGCCGCGAAGGCCAGCGGCCCGGAGAAGGCCCCCATGACCAGGTGCGTGGCATGGGAGAACCCCTCAAAGAGCAGGGCCCGGGCCGCATGGTGCGTGGCATACACCCGGGCCAGCTGCTTGATGGCATACAGGAAGGACGAGTGCGTGGTCGCCTGGAAGCCGGAGTACAACAGGTACAGGGCCCGGGGGAAGACCGGCGCGAAGCCCCCTCCACCGCAGGAGACAATGGCCGACCGGAGCATCCGACAGATGAGCTCAATGACATCGCTGCTGGTGCCGGCCGCCGGGTCGGCCGGGCCGGAGCCGCTGCCGGTCGTCGTCGTCGGCGGCGCGCCGGCCCGGTGCGACTGCAGGACCGCCTCCACCACGGGCCACACGTCATTCAGGGCCGGGATCAGTGGATGCCCGGCCGCGCTGGCCAGGGTGCCCTCGGTGAACAGGTGCCGGCAGAGCTCGGCCACCGAGGCCAGCCCGCCGGCCGCCGCCAGCACCGCCGGATCCGTCACGCCGGCCAGCAGCTGGAAGACCGCCCGTCGGATGGCCGGGTCCGCCAGCATGTCGGCCCCCATGTGCAGATCCCCGGCGGCCAGGCCCAGCGGCTGGTGGAGCTCCTCGAAAATGACTGCCAGTCGGTCGAACTGCGTGACCAGCTCCCGGGACGCTTGGTCCAGTGAGGGGGATTCACGCACGGCGGTCTCCAGTCTCCGGAGGGTCGGCGCGCACAGGCGTCGTACCAGCTCCGGGATCTGACCTGCGTCCGTGTGCCGAGCCACCACGATGGCTGTGAGTTGCAGGTCCGGATCCGGCAGGGGAGGAAGAGAGAAAAGAGAGCAGAGAGGACAGCGAGAGCAGCGAGAGCAGAGAATTGAGGATAGACAGAGAAAACAGACAAAGGAGAGCAAAGAGGGCGGAGGGAATAGAGAGGGCGGAGGGAACAGAGAGGGCGGAGGGAACAGAGAGGGCGGAGGGAACAGAGAGGGCGGAGGGAACAGAGACAGCAGAGACCGACAGAGACAGCAGAGACCGCAGAGACCGCAGAGACAGCAGAGACCGCAGAGACCGCAGAGACAGCAGAGACCGCAGAGACCGCAGAGACCGCAGAGAAAGGAGGAAGACGGCATTAGCGTGGAGCCAGACAGAAAAAAGCAGAGGAGAAAGGAAGAGGAGCAGCCGGCAAGGAGCAGCCGGGCCAAGGCGCACCGGTGGCCTGGAGGAACTCCAGATACTGCATGGGGCTGCTGAACTGAACACGATCCAGCTCGCCGGTTTCGACGAAAGGCAGCATGCTGGACAGGAAGTAGGCCGTCGGCCCGGGGGACAGCTTCACCAGGGAGCTGGTGGCCGAGGCCAGCACCTGCCCCGGGGTCATGGCCGGGTGCTGGAAGGTCCCCCCGGCGGCCGAGGCCCGCAGGCTGTGCATCAGGTAGTCCAGCGTCCGGTTGAGGATCGCCTCGTTGCTCGAGCTCGGGGCCTCGCCCCAGAGCCGCGGCACCACCGCGCTGAGGACCAGCTGCACGGTATACCGGATGTTTGGGTGGTCAAGCAGCGCCCCGGCCGGGCTGTCGCTCGGCTGCAGCAACAGCAGCTGGAACAGGTGCACCAGCCCCGGGCCCCGGGCCGCCGTCGCCGACAGGGGAAGCACTCGCAGGGCGAAAAGAACCGCCTCCACCTGCTGCCAGGTGGCCGCGGGGCCAGGGCCGGGTGCGAGGCCGGCCCCGGCCCCGGGCCCCGTCGCCGCCAGCAGACCCGCCAAGTGCCCGACACATTGGTCGAACAGCTCCACCTCCTGGTCCAGCGACTGGAGGATCTGAGCTACCCGGTGCCGGTACTCGCTGAATTCCTCCTGCCGCGAGGTGCTCCACGGGTCGGACCCCATGTCCCCATCGGCCGGGTACTGGAAATGCAGCAGGCACGTGGACAGCAGGGGAAGGGCCTGCGTGGCCGGATCCGCCGCCACCACGTCAATCCAGAAGTCACTGGCGCGCAGGGTGATGTCCGGCTCGTCGGTCAGCAGGAATCCAAAGTACATGCCGGCCAGGGGGGTGAACTGCTCGTGCTTGGGATACTTGATGGCGCTGTGTGTGTGTGGGGGGGGGGGGGGGGGGGGGGGCAGAGCGTCGGCGTGTCAGAATAGGGCGTCTTCAGCCGGAGGGCGCGGCCGAGGGGGCGGGGCGGGGGGTGGCTTGCACGCACAGCTCCATGAAACTCGACACAATCCGGCAGAAGCCGTCGGCCGCCTGGGGATCGGCCGCCTCGAGCAGCGCCGGGATCGGGACCTCGGGCCGGTAGCCGGTTGGCAGACCCAAGGCCTGACCAGCCCGCGGGCCCAGCTGCAGGACCAGCGGATAGAAGACCGCCAGCAGCTGCGCATGGTACTCCCAGGTGAGCTCCTCCAGGTCCGGGTCGCCGACCAGGCTGAAGAAGTCGCAGATCATGGCGACACACACGTCGAAGAGGGGCTCCTGGTGGAGGATCTACCCCGCCAGCCAGGGGGACCAGAGGGACAGAAGCACGGACCCCAGGCCAGGAGGACCGCCAGCAAGGGGGGAGGGGGGGGGGGGGGCACACCAATCAGGTCAGATGGCGATCAGGCGGCAGGCTGACACAAGCACCAGGGGCAGCCCCGCCACGCACATTGAACGCGAACTCAATCAACTTCAGGTCCATGATCTGCGGCAGGGACAGCAGCGACGAGTGGATCCACTGCGACAGACACTGGAGGGCCATCTTGGACCGAGTGACCGCCTCGGGCGTCGGGGCCGCCTGCCCGGCCGGCGCCTGGGCACACTCCTGCACCAGGGCCGAGCAAAGCCCCAGCAGGTTGGGGATCTCCCCGGCCAGGTAGTTTTCGGCGAAGGCCCGCCGCCGAGACGGGTCCACCGGGATCTGCCGGTTGTCCAATTCCTCCGGCAGGATGCTGAGCAGCTCCAGCCACAGGCACACGGCCACATGGGCCTTGTGCACGTCCTCGAGCGTGTGTGCCGCGGCGTTTTGCAGGACCCCGAGGGCCGACTGGACGCCAGTCTGTCCGAAGAACGTGTGCGACAGGGCCGCCACCGGGTCTGGCCACTCGGTTGACTGGAGCATCAGGCTGGCCATGCCGATGCAGAGGCGCGTCCGGAGGATTGTGCTGTGTGTGTGTGGGGGGGGGCCGTGTGGTGGAGGGAGGGGAGGGGGAGGAACGAAGGGCAACAGGGGAGGGGAGGGGAGGGGGGGAGGGGGCAGGTCGCGTCAGAGGCCAATGCGTGAGGGGATATGTGCATGTGCAAGAGCGCGCACGCGCACACGGATGGCAGGACATCTGTGTGCATGCGGGAGGGGGAGAAAGGTAAACGTACGGGCCGAAGGAAACCGACAGCAGGTGGTTGGTCAGGGAGCTTCGAAGCTGGGCACGAGACTCGGGGCCCAGCTCATGGAGGCTTGAGCAAATCTGCCGAGGGAGGGGCAAAGACGAGGGGGTCAGGGAGGATCCCCGGATATGCATGTGTGTATGTACTCGCTCCCGGAGGGCGGCCAGGAAGGAGCAAGAGGGCGCGCGCGCGCGAGGAGGGGGGGGGAAAGGCCCACAGGGCAGGGACACGCACCTTGCGGACAAGCGTCTGGGCCCCATAGTACCGGACCTCGGTGGAGGCCCCCTCGGCCTGCAGCAGGCGGTCGGCAACCACCCAGGCCACCGGCTCATACTGGAAGGCATTTAGCCAGCGGTCAGCCGCGCGCCGGTCGGCCGAGGTGACCTTCGACCCGGAGCCCACCGAATGCAGAGTGGCGATGGCCTCGAAGACGAGGTCCATCGACCGGGCGACCGCGTCTTCGGTCGACGAGTCCATGGCGCTGCCGAGGTGGAGTTCAACCGGGTGGGGCTCCTCCTCGAGGTCGATGTCGCAACCGTCGGTATCCGATAGCCGGGGGGTGGCGCAGCCGAAGTCCAGCCCGAGGGGGGGCGACGCCGGCGGGGGGGGCGACAGGCGAGGCGGGAGGACGGCTTCGGGGCCGGACCGAGCGGCAGAAGAGCTACCCCGAGTCCTGGCTGAGAGGGACCCGGCAAGGTGGGCGCGCACGATTGGGCAGGCCGGCGCGGGGGGCTGGCAGAGGAGGGAGGGGCGTGCGCACGACGGGCTGGCGGGCGCAGGAGGCGGGCGAGAGGCAGAGAGAGAGAGAGAGAGAGAGAGAGAGAGCGGGGGGGG